CAGAGCAATACAGATTAGGCTAGAAACAACACCAGAATGTTTATTTCCTGCTTTCTTTATAGGATTATCCCCGGAAAGTGGGAAAAAACAAAAGGAGATTTCTTCCAACAACCGGTTTTCTAAACTGCCTAGAAAGTTAACAACCGGTTCTCCTGAATAGGTGCGCACTGGCTGAATCCCACCACTGCACTAAAGAGTCACCTTGCAGCAAGACGGGTGACAAATTTAATTAATAAATAAAAGATTTGAAGACAGGCCTGACTTAGGAAAAGATATAATGAGAGAATTCTTTCCTGAAACCAACCTTGTAGCACCAGTAATTATTGATGAATTTCCCAACATTGTTGCGATTGAGGCCAAAATACTGATGTACTTATCCCCTCTGAGCTCTGCAGGAGGTGGGATCACTTGGTCCATAAATATGTTGCCTTCACTACCTTCAAAAACCACATACTTTGCTCCCAGTTGCTGCTTTAGGAGCTTCACCTGGCCCAGGTACCAGAGCACTGCAGCCTGACTGGTTACATTCAGACAGGCTGAAAACTGCCCTTTCCATTTGGTGAGGAGTGGCACCTGTAATGGAAAGGTGGACATAAGAAAGCTGTAGCACAAGTGGAGACTAATCCCTATAAATGGATTAGCCAATGAAATTCATCCGTTAAATTGGAGGACTAAAAAGCTGAGCTTTGATTATATAGTATTAGACTTAGAGAATTTATATATGATCTGCAAGTAGGTAAATTTGGTGAATAGAGGTGGAAAACGTAACAAAGAAAAGTCAATAGATGAAAGGTGAATGGTTTGCCAAGTTAGAAAAAGTACAATGAATAGTGTTCACTATACAAATTTTAACTTTCTTTTCCCATATCACAGGTCTATTATTTCTTTGGCTTACTGTTTCTTATTCTTTTTCTGCACCCTGTGTACACTGAAAGGAAATTGCATGATAGGTATTTACTTATTTAACAGCATTTTTGTACTGTTCCAATATAAAACATTCTGGGTCGTCACACAACATGCTTATATGTGTATGCTATCTATAAAATATTTCCATGCCAAAGTTTCTACTTCTTAATCCTTCACAAAATTATGCTTCACACTTTGAAGCATAACTATGGTGGTTATTTTTTCAAGGAACCCCAGAATGCTGAAAACATGTTGAGGAGACTGCAGTCCATTCAGTGCTCACTTTCTAATTGATCAGGAGAAGAGTGTCACCCACTGATCTCTGACACATGCTGGAGCAACAAAGGTCACTCAGAGAAGAAAACACAATACAGGTAGTCCTCGACTTAAGACCACAATTCAGCCCAAAATTTCTTTTGCTAAGTGAGATCATTGTTAACAATCTGGCCCATGAAGCCATTGATCTGGACCATGATGCTGCCCCGCCCACATCACCCCACCTACCCGCCAGCCCCCACCCACCTTCTGGAGACCGAGGAGGCCAAAAAATGGGCCCGTTTTTTGGGTGGCAGAGTGGTACTGGAGAATGAGGTGGCCAAAAATGGGACACACTGAGGCCTCAGGAGGCCAAAAATGGGCCCTTACTCCCCAAGGCAACCACATCCCTTTACTAACCTGTTTCCACCCCCAGGAGCATAACAGTTTAATTTGTGCGTATTGTTTAATGGACAGCTAAATTGGCCACACTCACCCAGATATAGAGGGAGCTGAGCAGGGTTTAATGCCTCCTTCCTGCCTCAATACCCAAATCCTGGCAAGAGGAGAATCCATCCGAATCAGTTAGAGCATGGCACAATTTTTAGGACAAAACAATCAGGTAATCCAATCACTCATCTCTGCTTTATACAAATTTTGGGTTTAATTATCTCTTAAAATAAATCAAGCGGCCAAATAATCCTATGATAGAAATGACCACTAAATGCAGTGGGACAAGTAAATGGGACAACATTAGCAAATCGTACCGAATAGTCACTGGATTCAGAATGGTGGCTCAACCAAAATTCTTCTTTCCCTTCTTGCAGGGACCTTTGGAAAATTGGTGAGTTGATGCTTGTATAAGGGGACAGAGTGATGGACAGTTTTAGTGGTTTCATATGGAAGTTGTTCGTGATAAATCTCAGTGCATGCAGTCTTTTTCTTCTTAGCAGAGGTAAATAGATGTGATCCTGCAAGGGAATGAGAAGAGAGAACATAATGAGACTTTGTCGCAGAGGTCACGAACTAGGCTGCATGGACAGTAGGACTAATTGCTTATTATGTAAACCACTGCTTATTAAAGAGAGCTCCAGCTGAGCACGTACATTATGTAACCAAGAGAGATTTTTCCAGTTGGTTTCATTGGTACTTTGGCATCAAAGCAGAAACCCAGGAAATAGCACAGAAGAGATATTGTGTATAGAGCGGTAGGCAAAACCTGAATGAACTGTTTGGTGGTTGTAGTTAAGGGAGCTGAGCATGCTTAGATGGACCTCTGCTTATCAGATCATAACTTCCAACAAGGCTGTAGTACTGGATGCTTCTATCTTAGATGTCACTGGGTGAATCTGGTTAGGGCCTAGATGGTGCGTTAATAGGAGCCCCATAATCTGCTTGTCAGATTTATAATAGTACTTAATAATAGCATCCATGTCTTGTCCAAATAGTTCTTTTAACAGTGTAGATTAGAAGTTCTGAAAGTTTAGCTCAGGGAGTGCAAAACAGAATGCCTAAGTCTGGTGCCTTCCTTCCTTCCTTCCTTCCTTCCTTCCTTCCTTCCTCCTTCCTTCTTTTCTTCCTTCCTTTTTCCATTCTTCCCTTCCTTCCTCTCTTCCTTCTTCCCTCCATCCTTTCTTTCCTCCTTTCTTCACTCCCTCCCTCCTTCTCTTCCTCCCTCCCTCCTTCCCTTCCTCCCTTCCTCCCTCCCTTCCTATTAAAACCATAACAATTATAGCTAATGAGTATACCAATAGCTATTAAATACTGTCATAATGAAATACTCAGTGGCTCAAAAAAAAAAGGATTTGTTGGCCAAGAATGAAATTATGAACTATAATTTAATGCAGAATATTTGAATTAAAAATTGTTGAGGAATGAATTTTGTGGATAATAACTTGGATTTGTTGCACATACCATATTTCGAAGTAGCATTGTAAACTCTTCACTGAGAGTGATTATGCCCTCCCCAAGATTATGTGTTTGAAGTTTATTGTAGAAAGACTTCAGTCCTTGCTCCATTTGAGAAACAGAATCAGCTATACCATAATATCTCCAGACTGGCAACCTGTTAAAAAGAAGAGTCTTGTTTGATTTAACAACAACTCATTTGTCAATTATGTTCAGTTGGTGCCTGACAAATGGAAATTAGTGAAGAAGCCATGGGTCCCAATGAGGAAACTTTTGTAGGCAGACCACACTTAATTTTGTTTTCCAAGGGAGGGTCACAGTCAGTAGGGTGATTATTAGATGGGTTGATGTCAGGTGCAAAGGATCAGGTCCATCCAATTAAATTTATTTATTTCTACTTATGCCTAAGCACAGGAATATCCTTACCTAGCAGTTAGCATCTGCTAGGAGTTAATGGATTTGGAGGGGTGGGACTTAGCTCACTTGTGGTTATGTAGAGATTCTAGATTTTAATTCCACCCTCAGATTCTGCCACTCCTTCCCCTATAGTCGATATTCTATACCAGTGGTGGGTTTCAAAAATTGTTGGAACCTACTCTGTGGGTGTGGCCTCCTTTGTGGGAGTGGCTTGCCACCCATGTGACCGGATATGAAATTATGAATTAGTACTTAGGTCGGTCCAAGTAGCTATTCAAAAACTCTGGCATTGAAGCATGCAAGTCTTATAGCTGTCAAGTTACAAAGATCCTTGCCAGTGGTGGGTTTCAAAAAAATTTTGAACCTCTTCTGTAGGTATGGCCTGCTTTCCGGGTCCACTGGTGGAACCTCTTCTAACCGGTTCGATAGATTTTGAAAACCCGGTTCTACCGAATAGGTGCGAACCCACCTCTGTTCTATACATATAGGTACAGCACTTTTTGTTACTTTTTCTTAGGTTTTTCAACTATTTTAGGTCTTACATTAGAATCTTTTTGTACCCCACTCAAAATGGTAGCAAAACATGTCCTTCCATCTTTGGGAGCCACAGTCTGATTTTCAATCCGATTTAGGATCAAACTGTATGTTTGTGATTTTTTTTTCTCCCAGTCTGGAGCCATTTTAATATGTAAGGACAGCAATTCCCAGATCTTGGCATTAAATAACTGCTTGAGATATGATCCAATACTATAATACTTCACTTATTGCTTACCTAAGAATGTCTGTATCTGGCAACCTTCGTTGTTGCCTCAGAAGTCGATTCCCCATCAGTTCCTGATGAGCAGATGTGATGTTTTGACTCCTGCACACAGTGTACTGCAGGAGACCCATGTCTGTGCCAGGAATATTTTCAAGGCAAAAATGTCTGTTTCTCTCCACTGAGAGAGAGATTGGTGTATCTGAAACCATCATCACGGTTACTCCTTCAATGATAACACACAGAAAAGCATTTTAGACAGTACCTTAATTTATCAACCCAGCCTAGTGCTCTACAGATGTATGGGATTACAGTTCCCCTTACGTCTGTTCTTGTGAATGGGAGTTCTAATACAATACAGGACTGTGGGTCTTTATGTATGAGTGTGTATACTGTATGTACAGTATAAAGTCAACAAGCCTGTGCATATGACTACATTATTTTATTTATGTTGCTTGTAGGTGAGATTGCATAAACAATCTGTTGTTTACAGATGGAATATGTATAATGGATATAATTAACTCCATAGTCTACAAACATTGATGGAAACTCCGAGTAATACAATATTTTTTTTAATCAATAGTATCTCCAAGCCAAACACCATATGAGAGAGGCGTTCCCTGATTTTCAGATTTGTTGACCCTGGCAATAAATCATCTTCACAGTGTGAAACTTAGTTCTGAACTGTAGCGAATCTTTAGAAGGAAGCATTTCCCCTTGATCTGCTACAATGGGACAGGCCAGAGACATTAGACTACCAGAAACTCAGAGATACAGCAATACTTAGAACATTACACATGCTTTACAATGTAAAGTGTGGCAAATATTTTTAAGAGAGCCGAGGTGGCGCAGTGGGTAGAGTGCAGTACTGCAGGCCATTTCAGCTGACTGCTAGTTCGGCAGTTCGGTGGTTCAAATCTCACCGGC